TGCGGTGAGGACTTGCTCAGTGTTCGGCTTGATCTGTCAATTTCAAGTTTAAAAAAGTCGCCACTGTCATGTCTTCATGTCCTGCCGCTATTTTCAGCTATCTTTCGGCTGCTGAACGAGAGCAAAACATAAAAATCTATTCAAAATGATGCTTCCGCTCCATTGGTAATTGCGCTCTAAATGAAGGCCTCTTTTTTCGTTGGCGTTTTAATCTCGAATGTTGTTTATTTACAGTTTAGCGTTTGTTAGCGTAGGTTTTTTTATTCAGCGAAACCTTATAAAGACGTTCGTTCCAGGTAAACTGTCTGGTATTGCTGTGCATTAAGTTACCGTTAAAAACAGTTTTTGATTGATTCCCAGAAATGGCAGATTCAGTTGAGGTGCGACTTTCCGAGTTTTTTTCCGCTTTAATTTTCAATTTTCCGCTTTTCTTTAATTTTCTTTAATTTTCTTTTTTTTCATTTTTTTTCACTAGCTATTTAAACGTTCCCAGAAATTCATAGTATTTAGAAACATTTATTTTCAACATATTAAAAGGCTATCTGTGAAATGCTGAAAAGTTTTTTTCGTGTTATTTTTCAGTTACGTAAAGATATTCACGAGCTCAAAAGCCTACGTTCAATGTGCTCTCGAAAGGATGTTCGTCGATGGCTCGACGAGAAGATAGCTGTCTGCGAGCATGAACTGAACGAAGTTCACATCTTTACTAGCTTGACTCTACAAATTTACTTTGAGAAATAATTTTTCGAGTTTAGTCTCACGTGTAAAATTTGTTTTTAAACTTCGATGATTGCAATTTGTTAACGTTTTCAGTTGAAAGAACAGCAAACAAAAGAGGACACCATTAAGCCAATGAATTCAGGAGGAGATACTGCAAGTCCATCAGATGTTCATTCTCTTCTCCTACCAACAGTTAAAATCACTAACTATGGTATGAATTTAAAGTTTTTTCGCTCTTGTAGATTATATACAGTGACGTGTTAACACATAATCAGTACTATGCATGAAATATAAACTTCATTGAACGAACATTATCGATGGGCATTATTCTTGACCAACAATTGAGTGAATTCTGTAATTTAGGTTGGGATCAGAGTGATAAATATGTGAAAATTTATATCACAATGACAAATATACAGTCCGTAAGTGCCGAGCAGATCGCAGTTAATTTTAATGCTAAGTAAGTTTGTTCATTTCGCAAGAGAACTTTGCATCCATAACAAGCAAATGGTTTTTGAGCATATATAAAGAATCGAATCAGAAAATGAGTTCAGTTCAAGTATAGACTAGTGAATTACTCGGTCACTTTAAGTCAGACAGTCAAGTTCATTTTTTTTTTCAGTAGTTTCGAAATGCATGTAAAGAATGTTGATGGTAAGAACTATTTTCTGACAATGAAGGATTTACTGTGTGCAATTAAGCCGGAATCGTCATATTTTAAAGTGAGTTATGATATCTAGCGATTTTGTTCCTCAGTTCCATTTACCAGGCTTGCCTCGTATTCAGTTCATTTTGATGGTTTCAGCAAAAAACGGATTTGTTGTTGATTATGCTAAAAAAGGTGAAGGAAGCAGAGGAATGGAAATATCTTACAAAAGCTGAAAGGGCTAGCAAAGAGAAGCGGTTCGTAAGTTTATTATGTCGTAAACATCAAGCAAATTCTAATTATTCAATGTCTTCATACAGAGCAATCAACTTGATGTAATGTGTTGAATAGCTCTATTTGAGATGTAATTTGATTCTAGTCAACCCAAATTCGATGAAAAAGCAGACCCACAAGAATCATTAATGACCATGATGAAGCAATTGTATGACGAGGGTGATGATGATATGAAGCGAACTATTCGAAAAGCGTGGCATGAAAGTCAGAACAAAATGAACGTGACACCATCCGATCTAAACGATATGTGATGTGCACAACCCGTCCTGTTGTCTTTAACGGCTGAACTAAATTTTATATGAATAAGTATTCGTTCTTGTCACAAATTTTTCTGAGTGCAAAACAGCAGATTCTGTTGAAGAAGTCGTTGACGTTTCAATAGTTGACTGCTATATTAGTCGGTGTTATTGTTGTTGCTGTTTGCTTCTTTGCAGAGAAGTAATGAAATCGTATCAGTTTCGTTGATGGTAATGAATAAACGATACTAGAAATGACTGCATTCAATTCGAGTACAAGAAACTGTATGACGTTAGTGAATGACAATGATAGAATGCAAGGGTAATTTAATGTTCATTGCATAAGAGATTTATGCACTCTCAACCGAGAAGTTCCTCACCTGGGTTTCTCATATATAGTGGTTCTCAACCTTTTTTGCTCCGTTGACCCCCTAGAGAATTTTAAAGTGTCCTCGTATCCCCTACCTTACCTCGCACACCCTCCCGCACTTCTCGCTCATCCCCTCTTATCGCGCCCCTCCTTACCCACCCTTTCTAGAATCCCCAGGCGTGCCGTTTAAGACCCCAGATTGGAAACCCTGCATTAGAGAGTATGAAAATGTAGATTGTTGTAGAGACACGTACTTATAAGAAGTTGGGATTAATACATATGGGTGTACGAGCGAATGCTTATAATGGTAATCGGATTGGAATTATACCACCTTCACATAAAATTATCTATTTTGATTTTGACTCGTTTCTCACTAACAATTCAGGCTCGCATTTTTGTTTGAAAGACCACCTGTGTACGAATGAAACTAAAGAAAAGACAATATTCAATCGGCTACTGCAGTTGAAGAAATTACGAATAAATAATGAATTAAGCAGTCAAATGAAACAGCCAGTGAACACTTATATTAACGAGATGCGATCATAAAATAAGATTAAAATTTGTTTCAACCTTTAATTAATTATCGTGCAAGAAAGTCAATAAAACCTGAAAAGTTATTCTAACAGAATTTGCCATATCATCGAATCATATAATTTATTGCAAAATTCATACATTTATTCACAAACAAATATATCAACATAAGAATATGACATATACGTGGAACGGATAAAATTCTTTTTCTGGAATGTCACTTTGCAAGAATCATTTTGATCACATAACAAATCGTACATGATTAATTCGTCGTGGGGACACATCCCGCTGCAATGATGAGAAAGTTTCGATCGAAGACGATGAAGATTTTTGAGGATGACCCTCAGATGGGATATAGATTGGAAAATTGTTATAAATCTGAATATCATTACTAAAGCTGTCGTGATGATTATTGTCGTTGGGATCGACCAGACGATGTCGTCTTGGTGACGCGGAACGTGTCAATTGCAACGAAGTTTCATTGAACGCAAGTAAAGATGCATCTGAGAGAGTTGAATCAACATGCGTCAACGGTAATGCTATTTCATTTGCATTCGCATGTTGTTGTTTTGCCTGTCAAATAAATGAACATTACCTCAGCTAAATGCATGAAATATGTGCCAAATTTAAATAACAACAAACTAACTTGATTATAAAGAAAAACACCCAAAATGGCGAGTAACATGCCGAACGCATTTGATATTGTAATTGGATTACGCAGCATGATCAGAGAAACAGATATAACCGTAATACGTTTCGTTGTGTTCGTAACTGCGTACGATAGTGCCGTTAATCGGTGTATTAATGTAAATGCACATAAATTCTGACAGAAAGACATCAATCCAGATATCGTCAAGTAAACGATAAACCACACATCTGGTACTTGAATGCTTGCTTTGGTTTGCTAAATTCAGTTATTCATGGACCTTTTTTCAGGCTGAACATTTTTTTCTACACATCAGTACAGAATGTGTTTTCTTCTAGCTGATTTTGACAGATAAATGACGACAAAAGTAAGAATTTTAAAACGTGAACTAAACCTCCGATGTGATAAGGTTCCATATTGTAAAACCATCACGGAAACACCAGATTGGAAAGAATATTAATGCAGCAATTTGAGCATTTAACGCTAACAATGTTATTGGGTGTATATTTGTGTCTTTTAATACCTTAACTTTACGCGCTTTCATCTTGTATCCTCATTAAAGTAGCATCATTGAATATAGTATAAACAAGAAATATCATGCGAAAAACCATTACGGATTAAATGATATAAGAATAGGAAATACATAGACAAATCTGATGTATTTTTGAAACGTTCACAGTACGAATGAACAAAAGAGAATAAGAGAAAGCAACGAACCCGTTTAACAAAAACATTCAATAATGCGTATGTAAACGTTGACATAATCGCAGAAATAAGTCCAGCAAAATTAAACGATAATTCCGTTAAGGATGCTATCAATACACCAATCACAATTGGTATTAATGAAATGTACACCAACTTCGTTTGGCGTTCATTCAATATCACACGGGCACATATTACAGCGAACAATGGCATTGTGGCTTTCACTCAAAATTGCATTCTATTTTTTAACATGAATTTTTAACAATAAGATTTTAAAAGCTGGAAAATGAAATGAGAACATGGAAATAAATAAATCTACTTGAAAACCTACCAGTATGTGCATATGAGATAGGTACTTTTGAGAGACTAAAGTATGCGCTAGCAACTGCAAACGCTTTACCAATAGAAATCGGTATAAGATAACGCTTCGTATAGTAGGATGGTAAATGATACTTCTTAATTTGCCAGAATTTTATGAATGGTTTCGAGTATAACGGAATACTGACCAATGATGCTAGCGCAACAGTCATTGGATACGGATACTTCTGAAATTGCGCTGAAGATGTGAAACAACCTGACTATTCAGTTCAGCAAATATTCAATCATTTATGAGCATAATAAATAATCAACTGGAAATGCTTTCATTGATGAGTATGCTTAAAAGTTACTTGCAAAGTCAGCTTATTGATGACACTCGCTGCCGAACTAACCGAGTACCAGAATAAACACAACAAAGCAACTTGACAACCGAACTGACAACGTGTTGACACAATAGGCATTATTTTGGACTTGGCTTTCGTGGTCGTGAAAATTTATTGCTTATTTCCAACGTCACTGAGAATCGTGGCGATTGTTTTGAGTATCAGTAAATAAATAAAACGACAAATCTTCCACTTAACAGTAAGTCAGTTCATTATTGCAGCTGCATCTCTGAAACACCTGAAATAATGCGAAAAAAGAGCTGAATAGAGAGTAAACGAAAAAGTTTCAAGAAGATATGCTCGCATTAACGTACCAAGCACACCGACACAAATAATGCAATATTCATACCACCACGCAAGCACACAATACACATGAACACGTCACAATATCAAATCGCTTTGTGTCATCAACATTGAAACACTTCATTCAGTATTACACCATTGATTCTCCCCGTTCAACTTCAACACTTCTCTCTCAACAAATTCAGACTGTAACGAAACACTAAATTTATTTTTTCATTTAACAACATTAACATATTAATGCCTCCACTGAGTGCAATAAGGTTATCAAAACAACTTGCATTTTGAAAGTCGATCATCAAAATAAATGTTCAATACTGCTCTCTTTATTGTGTTATTCATGTAAAGAAGTAAACGAATGAGAATTATTTGTTCGTTGGCGAATAACGCATTTGCAAAAAAAAGAGATAAATTAATAAACATTCTTAGAAATCAACGACGATTGCAAAAACGTCATCATTTTACATGAAATTATTTGGAAATTTGAAAACAAAACAAATATTTATAACGATTATGATTATTAGTAATCTGCTCAACATTCGGTGAATAATCGCATCGTCCCTAAGAAATATTCAAAGGCAATATCAATACAGATATAAATAGTACAACTGTACGCATAAATGAGATAACGGACAATCATATAACACACAACTTGGAATGTTGCTTTAATCAATCATACTAACGATGAAAGAATATTCGAGAACTTTGTAATATGTTGACTTGTCAGCGTACTCCTCCACAGTTTACTAGCTAGAGTGTACCTGAAACATGAACTTCTTAACAAAAGTTTCATCGTGAATATGAAGCGCCCATTGAGAAAATGAACCAACCATCGTCTCTCTGTAACAGCTGATGGATCACCAAGTGCGAACGCATCTTTAGGTAACTTCTGAATATTGGTTCGAAGAGTGCGCAAAACAAATTCGTAATCAATAACTGGTGAATGAAGCATTTGAGAAGTATTATCGGTATGCTGCGATTGCACTATTGCTGAAATATACATGATGTTATGACAAAGAATAAACTGATAAGAATAAACTTACGAATGATGTCAGGTTTTGTGCGCGGTCGCATATCAGCCAGTGGTATGTAATTAACATCCATGCAGACATCTTTATGCACATCATGTTTCATACCAAATAAATTCAATGATCCTTCAATGTTCAACTTCGAATCGGCAAAAAATTTCTTCAGCAATTCGCAACGATACTTCAACGTCTCTGGCTCGAAATCATTCGCTTTTGCACGTTGATGAACCAGCACTGAAACAATCGAGATGATTAATCGTTATCTTATGCACATCGACAAGTGTGGATGACAATTGTTGCATGACTGGTTCATTGAATGAACCAGTGAAAAGTGGATAATAACTGAAAGAAACAGGAAAAAAAGAGAAATACCCAAATTAACGCTTCGATTCGGTTTAAATTTCATATTGTCCGGAGACCATAATGGTGCTGCGCGAAGCATTTCACAAGTGCGAATTAGACGAATCATATCAACATCGATGAACCAATCAACACACAAAACGATTGTATGACAAATTTGCATCATGAACGATACCAATTGGATTGTCTTCAATTGATTTAACTATACTCTCTTTTTTTCAATGTCACAAATGAAGAAAAACAAACCTCAATTTGAACATGATTCTCGATACGATAATCATAACAATCGGATGCTACCACTTTTGCAGTTATACCTCGTCGACCGTTACGAATCAACTCATCAAGTATAGCCGTTGAGAATAATGCCTGAACGCGCGACTGATTATTATTAGAAGAAGTGATGATCACAGTAAAACAAAAGCAATAAATACCTGACAATCGATGAGAATAAGTCTTGATTTAGTCACATAAATGCTAATCTTCAATGACTGATGACGGCATGATTCAACTGCTTCCCGAGCTGCTGGTCGGAATGCGTAATGCCTTCAATTCCTATCATAGTTCATTCAAGAAAATATTAATTTCATTCCATAAGATGAACACAATCGTCAGAATATAATTTAACAATCATCTGTTCAAAACTAATGCTTATTCAATTATCATACCTGTACATATCTTGATGATCGTTACCCGCTAGCATACTCAATAATGTCGATTTACCTGTCCCTTGTGGACCGATTGCCCCAATCACCGTAAAATTTGTATTCGTTTCAGACAGATATTCCTAACCACGAATAAAAACCAGATTATTTTTGGACAGAAAAAAACAAAAACATTAAACACTGAATATTAAAATAGTAAATTTATAGTGAAAATTTAAACGGAATAAGAACTAGTGCTTTATATAAAAGAAATAAGAACAAGCTCAACTTCAACATAATCTGTAAATTCCATATTATCTCCGATTAAACGAATCGCTGCCTTCATTGCGGGAGGTGATACGGTTGTGCTATCTTGCACAGAGCTTGTGCCAGCAACACCGGCTCGGGGCGACTCTTTAACGAAGATCAATTCATATTGCACAAGTGATCAGTGAATGAATGTAGGAAAACGAACGTTGTGATCGATCACTTCGCAGTGAATTCAAAATGGTCAATGCAGAAGCTCGATTGTTGGCTAATGATGAAGTGCTCGATGGACGTGTTAATACAGCTGCACCAGAAGACACCTCAAAGAAGCTCAGTTCCACTGCTGGTCAACAAACAAAACGTAATAGCAGCTAGGTATACGAAACATCATTTCTCGTTGTTAGATTCAAACGAGATTCGGTTCATCGATCCCATATACAACTTCCAATCTTATACTTTTTGAGCAGCACCTCAATGTTAGTGTTATAAACAAATAAACCTTAGAAACGGATGACTGCTGCATTAATATTGGACGTATTGATGTGGTTGGTGCATTCGAGTGCGTCGTTGTTGATTGTTCATTGATCGTGCGCGATTCTGGCAAGAAAAACACCCATGAAAAACTATTTTCAGAAATGCATTTGGATAAAAGATAATAGCGCAACCTTTTGGTTTCGTAAGAATCGACACGGGTCGTGGCAGCACAGATATTCTTTCTGCTTCCTCGTAATAATCATGTCTACGCCTTGTCTGAAACAAAAAACCTAAAGAAATGCAAACAAAATGAACAAAAGAAAATGCTTCCTTGACCTATTTTCGAAAAAAACGAACAAACCGGTAAAGAAAAAAGTGAGCATATAAGCTCCAACAGGACGTAACGATTCAGCAACAAAAGTTCGACGCAAGTGAAGATGACATACAGAAAAAGAAAAGATCAAATCAAATCAAGACCCACGCCATATCTAGGTGCATTGAAATATTCGCGTGGTGCACGTACCAAACGCCCTCCGCGTGTTGACGATGTTTGATCGCTCATGATTATAATGAGTAAATTTAAAGAATAACCTGAAATTGATTAAATAACAACATTCCTCAGCAACAATCCAACTCAGCAAAAAGCATTTCAAACGAACGCGTCATGCTGTTAACAAATCAGCAAAAGCGCATCATTAAGCATGTTGACACGAGTCGAATTGTATTCTTGACGAGTGCACAACTGAGAATAACGATCATCAATGACAAATTAAACACCAAGAAATTCTCGTTCACAAATTGAGTCGTTACAGACTGAAACCTACCTCTACAACTTACTATCTCGTTCCATATTTAAATGTAGACTTCGACCTATCCACCAAATGAAATCGGATTTATATCCCTCATAAAATCACGATAACCACTTAGCAGGATCACGTACAGAAGTAACCCTACCTATAAAATCTAACTCACTTCCATTTTACTCATGCAGGTAATATTCACTTGATATAATATCGTTGCCATTATACGATAATTCGTCATTGTTTTTCTGTTTTTGTTCAACTCCTTTCTCCCTCCCTAGTAATAGTTGAGGCAGTATATTCGCCATACTATTATCATTTGAACCGAACTTTGTTACACATATTATCATGCGAATAAACATCATTATTAATGATAACCTTTGACATAACGATAACAATGACACGATGACGTCAGAGCACAGTTTAAGATCGTTCCTAACGATTTATAATAATTTTGAAAAAGCAGGCTAAATCGAGCGTACTCAAGCGTACAATCAGTCTCAAAATCAATTTTGAAGAGCTGAATGAAACGATTTAATGAATGAAAATGTCGCATGAATCCAGATGCAGTTACCCTTTGGAGTTTCAGAATTAAATGAAAAACTGCGATAATAAAACAACGAAATCACACCAGTTGTATAAAACAATAACGAAATAATACTGATATAGCAGTGCTGTTTAAAATCGAAAAATAAAATAAAAATATGTGTGTGCATATAGAGGGAAGGGTATTAATCGAAAACAAGTTTGTGAATCGATTAACTAAAATGATAATACGAAAGGATTTGAATTGATCAATACAAATTTTGATTAATGATTATTTGTGTGTGCGTTTATTTTGTTATCTTTTATTCATATTACTATTCTCTTTAGAAATACTGTCAGTTGACACTCAACATCATCTCATTATTGCCGTTATCATAATTACACAGCGCCATTAATGCCTGTAATTCAGCAACACTCCTTGAAGCATTATTTCCATTTTGATGGCTAAATCGAACAACTAAATGATAACGGAACGATTCATCAGAATTATCAGCACTTGATCTTTTACTTTAATGGCTAAATAAACAATTACGATTCAACCGCACACTGATTGCGACACCTCACCATTCTTTCAACGCAATACTTATTGCAGCAGCGATCGATGGCAAATGCACGTCTGTTAGATGTAGCATTTCGACTTGAGAATACTCATTATAAGGCGATTGAAAACATTGGTACGGGTGCTTATGGAGTGGTATGTAAAGCTGATGACCAGGTCGTTCGTATTTCTTTAATTTCATCCTTTAATCCATTCCTCTCCTCTCACCTTCTATTTCCTTTCAGTATCACAAACGCCGTGTCGCTATCAAAAAAATATCACGTGCATTCTCAGCAGTCGTATTACTGAAACGTTCATTACGAGAAATTCGAATTTTACGAGATTTGAGACATGAAAATATCGTTTCTGTATTGGATGTATTCACTGCTGAAGGAACACAAGTAAGAGCAACCACAATAATAATTACTGATCATGATATTTAATAATAATAAAACTATTATTAATAATAACTAATAACAATAACAATAATATTAATGAATCAATAATGCACGACTGAACGAGATATAGGTGTGTTTTACAGGGACTTGACGTGTATATGGTACTTGACTTGATGGAAACTGATTTACATCAAATAATCCATAGCAGACAGAACCTTATGGATCAACATTTCCAATACTTTCTTTATCAAATATTACGTGGACTTAAGGTGCACTCATCATAGAGTCATTGTCACTTGGTTACACTATGTGTATTACTCTCATAAAATTCTAGTATCTACATTCGGTTGGTATCGTTCATCGTGACTTGAAGCCTTCAAATGTGCTCGTTAACGGTGATTGTCTGATTAAGATCGGTGATTTTGGTATGGCACGCCTTGTGGAACAGTGTGTTCACAGCACGGGAAATTTTATGACGGTTCGATAGACATTTTTCAGTCCGTAGTAATGCCGTTAACTGCATTAGATTATCATCTCAATTCATGTTCTCCTTAATTTTTTTAGACGACCCTTCATCTGAACGTCTACTTGGAAATAATGCAAATGAATTTTCAGCAATATGTTTCAACGCGTTGGTATCGTGCTCCTGAATTGTTATTTTCACTTCTCGATTACGATACAAAGTATGCAAATTAATTAACTGATTCGTTCTGATCTATTTTTTAAAAACCAGGAAACGACAATAAATACAAATTGGATATTAATGAAACAATACTACAAACAAAATGACGTGACAATAATAATTTAGAGTAGATATTTGGTCTGTGGGCTGTATATTTGCTGAAATGATCCTAAGAAGGCAATTATTCCCTGGTAAAGACGCTATCAGTCAAGTGAAAATGATTGTCTACTATTTGGGTACACCCGAAAAGGTTCGCTGCAAATTATCTAATAGATTCAACAGTGAATATAAAATAAATAGGTACTTCGCTAGTAAAGCCAACATACTGCAGGAAGTCCTTGAACGAATCAATTTGGACCTTGTTCGACGATGGATTGAAAGTTGTGGTCATAAAAAAGCATTGCCATGGTCAAGTATCCTTCCGAAAGCAACTTCAAATGCTGTCGAGCTTATTTCAAAGGTTAACAGTGCACCATAATACTCGTTATTCAATCTTTTATCAACGATCAATACGAACAATTGCTTATAGCCATTAGACCAAATATACACTTGCACTGAATAATACAAACCGAAAATTTCAGTTGATGCAGGTAGCACCTTGGAAGCGTATCTCTGCAGAAGAGGCTTTATCACATCCCTATCTTGAAACTTATCACGACCAAAAAATCGAACCCAATTGCTCACAAAAGGTATTTCCTACATTTCCCATATCAACATTCAGTGCATGATATGGTGCTCTAAACTTCAGTTGGCCGTTATTTGACTAAACTTTATTCCACTAATTGTTGACACTTTTAAAAGTATCGTCGTCTTTAGCAATAAAAACAATTTCAGGTTTATTTTGATGCAGAAGCAATCGAAAAACTACCCGTTAATGTTTTAAAACACGCACTTATTGCTGAAGCCGAATATTTTGCATCAATACGCGCAAAACACGATACAACCTGGAGGTCTTTTTGAAAGTTACCATCATATTGTTACTATTCAACTGAATTAATAATTCCACTGAAATTGCAGTAATAACACTAGTCCAACAAAGCGACAATCAACGAGTGAGAAGGTTGAAGAAGGCAGCCTACAAAGCACTAGAACCCCTACGTTAAGTGCTGAAGGTAACAGTATTTAATACAACCTAACGGCACCAATAATGTTCCTTCGAATTTTCGATCTCACTCACGCTTCACCAAATTAGCTAATATCACGGATAAGTGAACCATTTTAAATACTTAACAGTTTAAATTGCATGTACATATATTTCAGATATAAGTAAAGCATTGCCTGACATTTCCTAACAAATAATGTTTCAGTTTTGTTGAAATTCAAATAATAAATTTAAACGTGATTAAAAACAATCGAGCAGTCAAAACCAACTGAAGCAATGTTATTTCCAGGAAGTTTCAACAAATCAAACTGAATTCAAGTTGAATGTTATCAGTGAAAAGAATACGATATGATGACAAAAGCGATCAGCATGAGCATACTGAAATGAAAACAAATAAAATATTAGCAGTAGCACATCATGCCTAACACTCTTTCCAATCAAAAGCCTTCTCATTATATATTGTATAACATAATGAATGCTTCATTCCAAAACGCCAACTTACACGAAACAATAGCAAATTGCATAAATAAGAGCAGTAATGTGACTACTGTCGCACGAATGTCCAATCAATAAGCGCAGTCAATAAGAACCATACCATCAACATCAACTACAAGTGCATATATCAACTGACTACACAAATATCTACAAACCGCAATCTATGAAGCGCATTATTTGTTTGCTCTTTTCTTCGACTTGATTCGTTCGTCAATTTCTGATAATGTTACAGCACCGCCAATTACTTCAAATCGTCGTCGATCTTCACCAAGCAAACGTTCAGCACATTCTAAATTATACTTCAAAACTGAAAAATTTACTATCGCGCAACAGATAGAGACAATTATTATCAAAACTGAAACAATAATAATAATAACGACGATGATGATTAATAACCTCGAATCTCTTGATCATGTTCTCCATAACACTTGTCATACCTGTAGCCAGCACCCATCACTAAAGCAATAATAGGAACAGCCATGAACTTATTCTTTAGAAACGCTGCTGTCATCACTAATGCAACAGTTACGGTTGATGCAGCCATAAGCTCCCAGCCGATACTTTCACGATTCGTTGCTAACTTCAATTCATATCAATATGGTTTACGGTTGAACAGCACTATTACTATAAACATATGCACAAGTACATACCTCTACGGATCGTCTTTGTTCAAACTGCAAATTGTGCAACGCGATTTGATTGAGTATCTACAATTTGCAAGTTTGAAACGATTTTTGAAATGAACCAAAATGCTTCAGTCCATATAAAAACACGAGAGCAAGAAGAATAAGACACTGGATGAATGAAGATACCTGCTGATCATAGGCTCTTGATAAACGATCCACTACACCACTGTCTACATCATTATTGGTCTTCGTCGAAAATACAGACCCCATCTGAAAATATTTTGTCAAATTACAGTTAGTTTACGACAGAATGGTCTAAGCGATGGACAGAACAATTAGAGACAAATGGATGAATGTGAATAATAAACTCTGAACGCAACATCAGAGATAAGTAATGCAAGATGCTCGATTTCAGCGAGATTACTCATTCAACAATAAAAGTAAAAATTATCAATATTTATTTCCATCTATTCCAGCAAAAAATCTACCAGTAATATGAAGCTATATATTAAAAACATAATAACACAAACAAAAACAAACAATCAAATAATAACACGATACAATTCCACAAATAAAATGAAAACAATAATTTACAATTGAATTTTCCATACACACCGGTCATTGTTTCATCACCACTCAAGATTTTAACAGCGAACGTTCAGATAAACTCGTCAACGAAGGAACATTATAATTATTTGAATCATTTCTTATCTAAACTAGATACAAACTGTGGCGATTTATTGCACAACTATCAAAAACAGTTGAAATTACCATTCTGTATCACGAATTTTCATAAGTTCTTCCCGACGTCGATAAACATCGTTTAATGTTATCGTTTTGAGAATTGGTTCAGTTCGTTCGGATAATATCTGCTCTGCGTTTCCTGGAATTATTCGAACTAATTAATCATGCTTTTTGATGGTATCTTTTGTTAAAAAAAAAACAAAACAAAAATATGAAAACGGAACAAATTATTGAAGAAAAAATTGGACCCAACGTGGCAAAATAATGAAGTCATGAATTTTCAGCAGAAATAAGAAAAGAGACTGTAAAAACTAAGAGAAAAAAGGAAGGTGCCACCAACTTTTGATGATCTGAAGTTTATTACCATAACACAAATGCGTTTGATAGCATAAATAAGTCATGATCGGTAAGATTGGTAATGTATGTATAATATTTTTGTGATGTAATGATGAATATGCTGATGCCAATACTGTTAAGAGCCCACCAGGCATACTCCACAGCAACATCTCACGAGATTTCGCCAACTGTAATTCTTGGCAAATTACTAACCTTCAAAAATTAATCAAGCTTGGTTTGAAATCAATGCTCAGATATTACAATCAAAAAAAGAAGATAAATATTATCAAAAATATTCACTTCATAAGCACGCTTCCTTTCATCAACTATCTCAGCAAGAGCCATTTCACGTTCCAACTGAAACAAACACAACTGAAGTTTCACAAACAACGGACAATTGAAATGACAAGAATCAGCAAAAAAAAAACTGAATCATTTCTGGTAACATTTTGTAAATTGCGCAATTAGACATCCCCGTTTTCACCATCAACATCAAAGTGGCTAGAAACATAAATATGAAGGAAAACAAACCTTTCGATTTTCAAGTCGTAAAACAATTTCTTCAAGGCCATCAATTTTAGAAGTGGTTCTCATACTGCAGAGAAAAAAAACTTGGTATAAGCAATAAATGACAGTTGTAAGTTCAGATACAACACGAGGGCATCATAAATAGTGTTTGCAAAATTCCGACCATTTTCAATCCCGGGATCGTTTTCCAATCTCAGGATAATCCCGGGATTGAAAGCCTAACATAAACGGAAGGCGAAGCAACCATGATGAACGACGAAGCAAGACTGATGACACTACAAAATTTTCGATTACTGCTTCCAGAAAAACGAAAGCTGTGGTGCCACTATCTAATGACCTATAATGATATCTACGGCCGCTTGCATGGAAAACAACAAATACTACTGAATATGAATGAACTAGGAATGTTCGATGTATAATTTAAGATGGGAGTGTTAGATAAAATGCGCAATTCTGAAATCCGAGTTTTTTTCAGAGTATAAGTGCCATGATCCAGACCAAAAATTTTGGACCCTACGGTCCACCAACCCAGATAAATGCTCGCATAAACGAGAAAAGTATACATGGTAAATCCACAACTCTTGATGATGTGGCCGAGGTTTGCGAAAATGTCAGAGCGACAGACAAACAGAGCAGGAAGCAGGGTTTGCAATATCCCGACGTTTTTCAATCCCGGAATCGGGATTTAATTCCGGGGTCGATCCCGGGATCGAACAACTTTTGAAATATCGATGCACGTTCCAACATGTTTAAACACATTTTTTTGAACCAGTATGACCATAATCAATCAGAAAAGAGTTTATTCAACAAAATATCCAACAAATACAATAAATTATTGAAATTCAAATCAACACACGCAACAATTAATACTCCTATTACTCAACAAATTATTCAATGACGTAAAGCATATCATAAAATGCAGTTAACATATAATTCAGTGCGGTTATTCAACGATCATTCAACAATTATTGTTCAACATATAATTCGGTGCTGTTTGAAATAAGCTCTGAGAAACGTGAGTGCGTTGATAGTTCCATCGTTCATTCGCGTTTTCAGTTTTAAGAAAAAAAGGTTGCTATTTTTCTTGAGCAGTGAGAGCGAAACT